CCACCCGGTCTCTCTCACCCGGTCTCTCTCACCCGGTCTCTCTCACCCGGTCTCTCTCACCCGGTCTCTCTCACCCGGTCTCTCTCACCCGGTCTCTCTCACCGGTCTCTCTCACCCGTCTCTCTCACCCCGGTCCTCTCACCCGGTCTCTCTCACCGGTTCTCTCTCACCCGGTTCTCTTCACCCGGTCTCTCTCACCGTCTCTCTCACCCGTCTCTCTCACCCGGTCTCTCTCACCGGTCTCTCTCACCCGTGTCTCTCTCACCCGGTTCTCTCTCACCCGGTCTCTCTCACCCGGTCTCTCTCACCCGGTCTTCTCTCACCCGGTCTCTCTCACCCGGTCTCTCTCACCCGCGTCTCTCTCACCCGGTCTCTCACCGGTCTCTCTCACCCGGCTCTCTCACCCGGTCTCTCTCACCCGGTCTCTCTCACCCGGTCTCTCTCACCCGGTCTCTCTCTCACCCGGTCTCTCTCACCCGGTCTCTCTCACCCGGTCTCTCTCACCCGGTCTCTCTCACCCGTGTCTCTCTCCCCGGTTCTCTCACCCGGTCTCTCTCACCGGTCTCTCTCACCCGGTCTCTCTCACCCGGTCTCTCTCACCCGTCTCTCTCACCCGGTCTCTCTCACCGGTCTCTCTCACCCGGTCTCTCTCACGGGGCCCGGTCTCTCTCACCCGGGTCTCTCTCACCCGTCCTCTTCACCCGGGTCTCTCTCACCACCCGGTCCTCTTCCTCACCCGGTCTCTCTCACCCGGTCTCTCTCCCCGCGTCTCTCTCCCGGCTCTCCCCCGGTCTCCCCCCCCCCCCCGGTCTCTCTCACCGGTCTCTCTCACCCGGTCTCTCTCACCCGGTCTCTCTCACCCGGTCTCTCTCACCCCGGTCTCTCCCCCGGTCTTCTCACCCGGTCTCTCTCACCCGGTCTCTCTCACCCGGGTCTCTCTCACCCCCCCCCCCGGTCCTCTCCCCGGTCTCTCTCACCCGGTCTCTCTCACCCGGTCTCTCTCACCCGGTCTCTCTCACCCGGTCTCTCTCACCCGGTCTCTCTCACCCGGTCTCTCTCACCCGGTCTCTCTCACCCGGTCTCTCTCACCCGTCTCTCTCACCCGGTCTCTCTCACCCGGTCTCTCTCACCCCGGTCTCTCTCACCCGGTCTCTCTCACCCGTCTCTCTCACCCCGGTCTCTCTCACCCGGTCTTTCACCCGTCTCTCTCACCCGGTCTCTCTCACCCGGTCTCTCTCACCCGGTCTCTCTCACCCGGTCTCTCTCACCCGGTCTCTTCTTCACCCGGTCTCTCTCACCCGGTCTCTCTCACCCGGTCTCTCTCACCCGGGTCTCTCTCACCCGGTCTCTCTCCCCGGTCTCTCTCACCCGGTCTCTCTCACCCGGTCTCTCTCACCCGGTCTCTCTCACCCGGTCTCTCTCACCCGCGTCTCTCTCACCCGGTCTCTCCTCTCCACCCGGTCTCTCTCACCCGTCTCTCTCACCCGGTCCCCCCTCCCCCCGGTCTCTCTCACCCGGTCTCTCTCACCCGGTCTCTCTCACCCGGTCTCTCTCACCCGGTCTCTCTCACCCCGGTCTCTCTCACCGGTCTCTCTCACCCGGTCTCTCTCACCCGGCTCTCTACCCCGGTCTCTCGCACCCGGTCTCTCTCACCCGGTCTCTCTCACCCGTCTCTCTCACCCGGTCTCTCTCACCCCCCCCCGGTCTCTTCTCACCCGGTCTCTCTCACCCTCCCCACCCGGTCTCTCTCACCCGGTCTCTCTCACCGGTCTCTCTCACCCGGTCTCTCTCACCCGGTCTCTCTCCCCGGTCTCTCTCACCGGTCTCTCTCACCCCGGTCTCTCCTCACCCGGTCTCTCTCACCCGGTCTCTCTCACCCGGTCTCTCTCACCCGGTCTCTCTCACCCCGGTCCTCTCACCCCGGTCTCTCTCACCCGGTTCTCTCACCCGGTCTCTCTCACCCGGTCTCTCTCACCCGGTCTCTCTCACCCGGTCTCTCTCACCCGGGTCTCTCTCACCCGGTCTCTCACCCGTCCTCTACCCGGTCTCTCTCACCCGGTCTCTCTCACCCGGTCTCTCTCACCCGGTCTCTCTCACCCGGTCTCTCTCACCCGGTCTCTCTCACCCGGTCTCTCTCACCCGGTTCTCTCTCACCGGTCTCTCTCACCCGGTCTCTCTCACCCGGTCTCTCTCACCCGGTCTCTCTCACCCGGTCTCTCTCACCCGGTCTCTCTCACCCGGCTCTCTCACCCGGTCTCTCTCACCCGGTCTCTCTCACCCGGTCTCTCTCACCCGGTCTCTCTCACCCGGTCTCTCTCACCCGGTCTCTCTCACCCGGTCTCTCTCACCTTCCCCCCGGTCTCTCTCACTCCCCCGGTCTCTCTCACCCGTGTCTCTCTCACCCGGTCTCTCTCACCGGTCTCTCTCCCCGGTCTCTCTCACCGTTCTCTCCCCCCTCACCCGGTCTCTCTCACCCCGTGTCTCTCTCACCGGTCTCTCTCACCCGGTCTCTCTCACCCGGTCTCCTCTCTCACCCGGTCTCTCTCACCCGGTCTCTCTCACCGGTCTCTCTCACCGGTCTCTCTCACCCGGTCTCTCTCACCCGGTCTCTCTCACCCGGTCTCTCTCACCCGGTCTCTCTCACCCGGTCTCTCTCACCCGGTCTCTCTCACCCGGTCTCTCTCTCACCCCGGTCTCTCTCACCCCGGTCTCCTCACCCGGTCTCTCTCACCCGGTCTCTCTCACCCGGTCTCTCTCACCCGGTCTCTCTCACCCGGGTCTCTCTCACCCGGGTCTCTCTCACCCCGGTCTCTCTCACCCGGTCTCTCTCACCCGGTCTCTCTCACCCGGTCTCTCTCACCCGGTCTCTCTCACCCGGTCTCTCTCACCCGGTCTCTCTCACCCGGTTTCTCTCTTCACCCGGTGGTCTCTCTCACCCGGTCTCTCTCACCCGGGTCTCTCTCACCCGGTCTCTCTCACCCGGGTCAGTCTCTCTCAACCCGGTCTCTCTCACCCCGGTCTCTCTCACCCGGTCTCTCTCACCCGGTCTCTCTCACCCGGTCTCTCTCACCCCGGTCTCTCTCACCCGGTCGTCTCTCTCACCCGGTCTCTCTCACCCCGGTCTCTCTCACCCGGTCTCTCTCACCGTCTCTCTCACCCGGTCTCTCTCACCGGTCTCTCTCACCCGGTCTCTTCTCACCCGGTCTCTCTCACCCGGTCTCTCTCACCCGGTCTCTCTCACCGTCTCTCTCACCCGGTCTCTCTCACCCGGTCTCTCTCACCCGGTCTCTCTCACCCGGTCTCTCTCACCCGGTCTCTCTCACCCGGTCTCTCTCACCCGGTCTCTCTCACCCGGTCTCTCTCACCCGTCTCTCTCACCCGGTCTCTCTCACCCGGTCTCTCTCACCCGGTCTCTCTCACCCGGTCTCTCTCACCCGGTCTCTCTCACCCGGTCTCTCTCACCGGTCTCTCCCCCACGGCCTTCCCCCACGGCCTCTCACCCACGGCCTCTCACCCACGGCCTCTCACCCACGGCCTCTCACCCACGGCCTCTCACCCACGGCCTCTCACCCACGGTCTCTCCCCCACGGCCTCTCCCCCACGGTCTCTCTCACTCACGGCCTCCGCTCCTTCTCCGTCGGTTTCCTTCCGTCGCGTGCGAGTGACGTGAAGCGGGGGGAGGAAAAGTGGCAGCAAGCAACGCCGACGTGACGTCACGACCGGTGGTGGTGATGACGTCACGACCTGTGGAGGACAAAGTGACGTGACGTCACGGCTGCTTGCGTTGTTGTGGCCGAAACGTCGTGAGAATAATTTTATTGTTTTATTTTTATTATTTTATTATTTCCATTCTACGTGATTTTACCGAAAGAACCAAGAACCCATTGACTCAACACTGCCCATAGACTCAACACTGCACATAGACTCAACACTGTCCATAGACTCAACACTGCCCATAGACTCAACACTGCACCATAGACTCAACACTGCCCATAGACTCAACACTGCCCATAGACTCAACACTGCACCATAGACTCAAACACTGCACCATAGACTCAACACTGCACCATAGACTCAACACTGCACCATAGACTCAACATGCACCATAGACTAACACTGCCCATAGACTCAACACTGCACCATAGACTCAACACTGCACCATAGACTCAACACTGCACCATAGACTAAACACTGCCCATAGACTCAACACTGCACCATAGACTCAACACTGTCCAAGACTCAACACTGCACCATAGACTCACACGTCCATAGACTCAACACTGTCCAAGACTCAACACGTCCATAGACTCAACACTGCACCTAGACAACACGCCCCAAGACTCAACACTCCATAGACTCAACACTGTCCATAGACTCAACACGTCCATAGACTCAACACTGCACCATAGCTCAACACGCACCATAGACTCACACTGCCCATAGACTCACACTACACCATAGACTAACACGCCCATAGACTAACACTGCCCATAGACTCACACTGCCCATAGACTCAACCACCCATAGACTAACACTGCACCATAGACTCAACACTGCACTAAGTGGTGGTGGGGGGGGGAGACGTCCCCGCGGCGGGCGCTTGGTGGTTGGAGAGAGACATGACGTCACGTCGAGCAGGAAATGGTGACGTCACGACCGAGTCGCCCGAGTCTGCGTGAGTCCCGCGTCTTTGTGTCACTGTGGGAGAATCTTCACCCGTGTGTCTGGTCTGTGGTGTCTGGTCAATCTGTGGCCATCCGTGTGTGTGTGTGTCTGTATCGGTCTGTGTGTACGGTAGGGGGCACAGGTGGTGCATCAGCCAGTCATCTCGGTCATCTCGGTCAGTCGACCCGTGGCACCTGGGCCTGCCCCGTGACCTCCTGCCAGCGGGCGTTCGACACTTCACGTGGCAGCCTCAAGGTGCACTTGGCCTGGCACAAGCGTCGTGGTGACGTCACCGCCACTTAGTGGCGAATGGCGGTTGGTTGTTGTGTGTGTCAATCTGTGGCCATCTGTGTGTCTGTCTGTATCCGTCGTGTCTGTTAATCTGTGTCCATCTGTGTCTGTCTGTATCGGTCTGCGTCTCTGTTCCAATCTGTGTGTGTGTCTGTATCCATCTGTGTGTGTGTCAATCTGTGGCTATCTGTGTGTGTCCGTCTGTGTGTCAATCTGTGGCCATCTGTATGTGTCTGTTGTGTCAATCTGTGGCCATCTGTGTGTGTCTGTCTGTATCCGGTCTGGCGTCCTCTGTTCCAATTTGTGTGTTGTATCCGTCTGTGTGTGTGTCAATCTGTGGCCATCTGTGTATGTGGTCTGTATCCGTCTGTGTATGTCAATCTGTGGCCATCTGTGTGTTTCGTTCAGTGGCCATCTGTGTGTGTCTGTATGTATCGATCTGTGTCAATCTGTCTGTCAAACTGTGGCCATCTGTGTGTGTCCGTCTGTGTGTCAATCTGTGGCCATCTGTGTGTGTCTGTCTGTATCGGTCTGCGTCTCTGTTCCAATCTGTGTGTGTCTGTATCCGTCTGTGTGTGTGTCAATCTGTGGCTATCTGTGTGTGTCCGTCTGTGTGTCAATCTGTGGACCATCTGTGTGTGTCTGTCTGTATCGGTCTGCGTCTCTGTTCCAATCTGTGTGTATCCGTCTGTGTGTGTCAATCCGGCATCTGTGTGGGTCGTGTCGTCAATCTGTGGCCATCTGTGTGTTTCGTTCAGTGGCCATCTATGTGTGTCTGTCTGTATCGATCTGTGTCAATCTGTCTGTGTGTCAAACTGTGGCCATCTGTGTGTGTCCGTCTGTGTATGTGTGTCAATCTGTGGCCATCTGTATGTGTCTGTGTGTCAATCTGTGGCCATCTGTGTGTCTCTGTCTGTATTCGTCTGTGTGACAAGGCCGTAGCCATGGAGTCAACATTGGGGGGGACCAAATCTTCCAAGGGGTCTGGGGTCCCCCTCCCCCAGAAAAAATCAATCTAAATTTGAAAACGAACTTCCTGCCATTTCCTGCCTAAAATATAAAAAAATCACTAACACATGGGATGGACTTATTTATTTATTTTGTACAATAATGTATAATAGTGTATTGTATTACATTGCTCCGTTTTTTTTCTTTTTTACCTTTTCTTGTTTCATTGTATGTAATGGCAGAGATTAGGGATTAATAAAGTACAACCATAACCACTATAATATAAACAGAAATCTATTTTATAGCAATATATTGGGGGGGGGGGGGCATTTTGAGCATATTTGAATATTGGGGGGGGTGGTATGTCCCCCCCCCCCCAATATATATTATAATTACGGCCTTGCTGTGTGATAATCTGTGGCCATCTGTGTCTGTATCCGTCTGTGTCTCTGGGTGTATGTCAATCTGTTTCCATCCATGTATGTGTGTCTGTGTCTTAGTATGTGTCTTAGTCTGTGTATCTTAGTCTGTGTCTCTGGGGTGTGTAAATCTGTGTCCATCTGTGTGTCTGTGTAACCTGGTGCGGTGTGTAGTAAACATCACCACTGGGGAGAGAAAGGCGGCCGGGCGTGGTGCTGGCCACCCACCCCCTCGTGTACCATGGTGCCAGCCTTCATTGGCCGCTAATCGCTAACAGAACTTACTTGCCTGTTAAGGTCATACGGGGGACTTTTACCTGCCCAGCCTCTCACCTGCCCAGCCTCTCACCTGCCCAGCCTCTCACCTGCCCAGCCTCTCACCTGCCCAGCCTCTCACCTGCCCAGGCTCTCACCTGCCCAGCCTCTCACCTGTCCAGCCTCTCATCTGCCCAGGCTCGCCTGCCCAGCCTCTCACCTGTCCAGCCTCTCACCTGCACAGGCTCTCACCTGCCCAGCCTCTCACCTGCCCAGCCTCTCACCTGCCCAGGCTCTCACCTGCCCAGCCTCTCACCTGTCCAGCCTCTCACCTGCCCAGGCTCACCTGCCCAGCCTCTCACCTGCCCAGCCTCTCACCTGCCCAGGCTCACCTGCCCAGCCTCTCACCTGCCCAGCCTCTCACCTGTCCAGCCTCTCACCTGCCCAGGCTCACCTGCCCAGCCTCTCACCTGTCCAGCCTCTCACCTGCCCAGCCTCTCACCTGTCCAGCCTCTCACCTGCACAGGCTCTCACCTGCCCAACCTCTCACCTGTCCAGGCTCTCACCTGCCCAGCCTCTCACCTGCCCAGCCTCTCACCTGCCCAGCCTCTCACCTGTCCAGCCTCTCACCTGCCCAGGCTCTCACCTGCCCAGCCTCTCACCTGTCCAGCTCTCACCTGCCCAGGCTCTCACCTGCACAGCCTCTCACCTGTCCAGCCTCTCACCTGCCCAGGCTCTCACCTGCCCAGCCTCTCACCTGTCCAGCCTCTCACCTGCCCAGGCTCACCTGCCCAGCCTCTCACCTGTCCAGCCTCTCACCTGCCCAGCCTCTCACCTGCACAGCCTCTCACCTGTCCAGCCTCTCACCTGCACAGGCTCTCACCTGTCCAGCCTCTCACCTGCACAGACTGTCACCTGTCCAGCCTCTCACCTGCCCAGCCTCTCACCTGTCCAGCCTCTCACCTGCCCAGCCTCTCACCTGCCCAGGCTCTCACCTGCCCAGCCTCTCACCTGTCCAGCCTCTCACCTGCCCAGGCTCACCTGCCCAGCCTCTCACCTGTCCAGCCTCTCACCTGTCCAGCCTCTCACCTGCCCAGGCTCTCACCCGTGGGTGGAGGTTGAGGAGGACCCGTACCCACTGGCTTTGCCAGGTAGAAGGTGGCACAGCAGCAGAGTGTGTGGACTAATCTCCATCTGTTCCATCTCACTCCCTTCTACCCGTGGATGGCGGTTGAGGAGGAGCTGTACCGCCTAGCTCTGCCGGGAAAAAGCGGTACAGTAGCAGAGTGTGTGGACTAATCTCCATCTGTTCCGTCTGTTGTGGGGTGGCGCTACTCCATCGCATGCGTGGGTTTTTCTCCGGATGCTTCAGTTTCCACCCACGTATGAGCTCTCATGACTTGGCTGATAACACCTTATTATATAAAGGACCGCAGAGCTTGGGAAATATTTTTGGCTCAACGCTGGACTGCTGCCTTCCCCGCTTCTGTTTGGTTCCTCACTACTCTATGTATGTGTGTACGTTGAAATTATTTTGCACCGTGCCTTGCCAAAAGTAAACAATTTATTATTGTTACCAGGTAAGGCCCCAGCACTGAGCTATGTAGGAGCTCTTTTTCAGAAGCGACCTGGGCATCACAAATTATAGCAACTCATCAAAGTGGCTTATCATAGTATGACAATTTAGAGCAGCCAAATACTGTACTCTGAACGCGTGGTGATGTCGATTCAAAATATGGAGGGAAAAACCGGAGGACCTCGAGAAAAATCCACGCAATCATGGGGAGAGAGACACGCAAACTCCAAATATACAGATATCAGGGTCGGGATCGAACCCAAGACCTGTATACCAGCAGAGGTAGTTAACATCTCGCCACGACGCAGCCAACTGTGCTAATCGCAGGTGCGGGGAAAGGACAACAAACGAAACACAAAAAGCAGTTCTAAAGAAGTGAATTTGTCAATCGAGATGATGATTTAAAAGTGCATCATAGTTCCCAGTGGCTTCCTAATATCGGAAGGGAAGAGCGTTCCAGACGGCCACAGAAGAAGCGGATCTCAAAGCGCCGCGCAACAATGCGCCGCTGTTGCTACGAGGATGACGGTTGGAGAGTTTACATAACGACGGTTCATGCTCCTCAGATCATCAGCGAAGTGTAGCGGTTCACCCGTGAATGGATATCGTGCGGCGGCGCATCACACAATTTTTCATTTTATGATTGTTGCTTTGCCCTTGCGTGCCCCAGTGCCGACGCGGAACGGAACGGAGCGGAGATGAAGTTCTTCTGCCCGATCTGCAAGTGGCTCGTGGTCAACCTGCCCGCCCTGGACGACCACATGAAGCGGCACAAGGGGTGGACGGAGCCCGCTCTGTTCCGGTGCCCCCACTGCCCGTTCAAAACGTACAAGCTGAGCGTGTTCATCAGCCACCAGGCGACGCACGACGCGCGCGAGTCACACAAGTGCGCCGAGTGCGGCAAAGTGTTCATCGACGCCGAGGTCTTCCGCGAGCACCGGGCGGCGCACGCCGAGGAGATACCCTACATATGCGCCGACTGCGGCAAGATATTCGCCCGGTCGGACACCCTCGTTGCCCACCGGCGGGTCCACGAGGGTGGCAGGGCGTGTCGGTGCGCCGCGTGCGGCAAGGAGTTTGCAGACTCCAGGGCCCTTCACATTCACCAGAACGTCCACGGCCTGCCATCGCGACCCCCGTCCGGCGGCGAACCGGAGGGTGCCTCGGCTCAGACGTTTGACGCTCCCGCTCCCCGCGGAAACGGAGGCGGAGGAGGCGAACCAAGAAGACGGCGGACGTCCGGTGGCGGCGGTGGCGACCACTCTTTCTCCACCGGAGCGAGGCAGGCGAAGAGAAATGTGATGCCGCCGCCACGAAGCCGTTCAGCAGGCGCCCCATCTACGACCTCGCCACCACCAAGCGACAGAGCCAACCCCGCGTCCCCCTCACCTCACCTCACATAAACACACCCGCACGCATTTCCCCCCCCCCATAGAGCTCCGAGGGGAGGTCACCTGGCCGACCGGTTTTAATCCGAGAAGCCCTTATCGGGATAACTTTCACGATTTCCGGTGACCAGGGAATTGGACGACCTCCCCCGATGCTACTGCGCGGTGCTGCGACCGGCATTAAGATTGCAAGGTCGCAGCAAGGGGCCACTCGGCCACCGCGGGTGAAACGCACCACACACACCCCACACACGCACGTATCGACGGGGCCGGCAGAGGGGCATAAGCATTGTGCCCGTCAGGGCACGCGCCCTAACGGGCGCGCGCCCATTGTTAAAGAAAAACTGGGAGGGGGCGACGACAGGCGGAGCAGCATCCCTTTGATGTAGGGACGATAAAAAGGGGGCGAAAACGGGAGATCTCTCTCTTGCTCCAGGATCAGGCCACGAGACGCTCTCCAGCCCAGCGACCCGGATGTCCATGCGACGCATCGAGGTACACTGCGAGCACGGGATCAACGGACCTCCGTGGGCACCTAACCGTGAGTAAGAAGGTGCATTAGGATCATAAGCAGATAAATCGGGAATAGGCATGAAGGTATCAAAGTAGGCCAGCCTCGTCCATTCATACTGACTCAACAACCAGTCCCAGGTAGCAGACAATAAATCATTAATAGCTGATCGTGGCCTCGTGTGATCTCGTTGAGAAGTGTGAACGCATGTGGTGCTGCGTATACAGTGGCTCGCCTCGTGGGAGCGCTGCGCAGAGCGCTGCGCAGAGCGGCGCGAGAGTGGGTGTCGCGTGTGGAGCTGCGTGTGTGCGCGTACGTTCACTCCGTGTATGATACAGGTGCGCGATCATAACGTGAGTAGTCAGTGTTGAGTTGGAGTGCACGGAGCTGCGTGTGTGTGTGTGGGTGTGCATACGTTCGCTCCGTGTATGATACAGGTGCGCGATTGGTAACGTGGGTACTCGACGTGGAGACGAGTGCTGCACAGGGCGGTAGACGGGCACACGCTCGCAGCGTGCGAGAGCTGTACGTAACGGTGTATGGCGTTTGATTGATCATGCTGTGCGTACGTATGCTCGCAGCGGGGGAGCGCTGCGTGGGGCTGGATGAGTAGGGGCGTCGCGTTCGAATGCCGGCGACACCCTAGCGGGTATTAGGGCGGTGTGGCAACGCGAATGGAATAGGGGATGCGTGAGGGAGAGATCCCGGGGGCCAGGAGGGACCGCGGGGGCCAGCGGCCCCAACAGAAACGCCCCCCCCACCGCCCCCACCACCACCACCTCCTCCGGCTTTGAAACGCGGCCGGCGGCAGTGAAGGCGACGGCGGCGTCGTCGGCGGCGGCAACGACATAGAGGACGCTCCCCATCACCCACCCACCCCTACGCCCCCTCGTGTGGCCTTCGTGGCCGTGAATTTGGAGTTGGAATGAAACTCCGGCCGTTTTGATGGAACCACGGAAGAGAGGTTTGTATTTTAGTGCCATTTGTTGATGTCATAAATTCCTGACCCCGAGTCCCCCACCACCCCCCCCTCCCCCGATCTGCCGCTGTGGCGAGATGTTAACCTCCCTCGCCTGGTATGAACTCAAATATTTTTGGTTATTGCTACTAGGTAAGGCCCCACTGAGCTATGTAGGAACTCTCTTTCAGAAGCGACCTGGGCAATCACAAATGATACCAGCTCAACATATCATCATCATCACCGTGTGGAAAAAAACAAGACCCAGAGAAAAATCGACGCGACCATGGGGAGAGAGACGCAGACTCCAAATATACAGCAGCATTGGGATCATCGCAGGTTGTGGGTTCGATCCCGACCCTGACGCCTGTTGTATATTTGGAGTTTGCATGTCTCTCGCTCTCTCCCCGTGGTCGCGTGGATTTTTCTCCGGGTCCTCCGGTTTTTCCCCTCCACATTGAGAATCAACATCACCACGCATGATGTGGACATGCATAGCTGCTGCTATACATTTCCACGTGATGATGATGTCAGCCACCTGGTTGCGCTGCTATCATTTGTGATGGCCCAGGTCACTTCTGAAAAAGAGCTTCTACATAGCTCAGTAGGGGCCTTACCTGGTAACAATAAAAAATAGTTTTTAAGTAATTTATTTACTTTTCCTATACTTTGCACTCGTATCGTGTTTTGTACTTTGTTGTTGTAACTTTGCGATCCCCCGTGCCCCTACTGGACATCTGTGACAAAGAGCTTCATAGCTCATCGGATTGCCCCTGGATGAGTAACGATTCTGACTCTGAAAGTTTATTAATTTCCCCTCTCGATTGTGAAGCGGGAAGATGAAGACGGATAATAACGTTCAGGTCTGAACAGATTTACCTACGTACGTTGAACTTCCCTTCGCACCGTACATAGCCGACCGTTGATAACACTGGTCAACACACTTATTCTGGCATAAGGTATTCCAACGGGTTTAAGGTTATTTTGGGGTGCTGATTCCAAATCTGGCATCAGTTTTTGTTTATCAAATCAGGTTTTTGAGATATCAAATAGTGCATTTTCAATAAAAAACGGCAGAAGATAAATATTAAATGAATGTGGATATCTACATAAAATGATATTATAAACACACTATCCTAAAAATACAGCACCATATTTTAACACTAAAGCAGTCACTGACTCGCAACAACTTGCAACCATAAGTGACAGAGTTAATTTCGGGTAAAATCAATGTAAATGGGGTATGCCGATAGCATAAAATGAGATGTGATAGAGCAAATCTGTGATCAGATTTGGAATCAGCACCCTGAAATTAGTCTAAAACAGCTGCAAAAGTTGTTAACCAGTGTTATAGGAGGTTCGGGTGATGGGGAAGGACAACAAACTAAACACCACACCAACAAGCAGCAGCTTCCAAAGAAATTAGTTTGTCAATCTAGGCGATGACGCATAGCTCGCAGCATTTTCCTAATATTGGAAAGAGAGCGTTCCAGACGGCCGCGGAAGCATATGGGAAAGTGTCGCGCAGCCATGATGCGGTGGCTGCTGGCTTCGATTCGACGGCTGAGCCCGAAGCCGCTTCTGCTGCCGCTGCCGCCGCCGCCACCACCGCCGCCGCAGCTGCTATTGCTGCTGCTGCCGCTGCTGCTACTGCTACGAGTATGACCACCGGAGTGTCGCGTGGCGATGGTTTATAGCTCCTTGACGAGATCAGCAACGAGGGTATCGCGGTTTAGTTGTAGCCAAGCACTGTGTGACCATTGTAGAACCTTTCGATTTAAAGCTTTCGTGACTGCAGGGATTCATCTTCTTGGTTATTTGGGTAAAGTCACGTAGAAGGGAAATAATAAAATAATAAAAATTTAACATAAAATAATTCTCACGACGTTTCGGCCACAACGCAAGCAGCCGTCCTCAGGTGAAGAACAGGTATATCGGAAAGACAGCGTCTGAATGACAGACCTGTTCTTCACCTGAGGACGGCTGCTTGCGTTGTGGCCGAAACGTCGTGAGAATTATTTCATTATGTTTTATTTTTATTATTTCCCTTCTACGTGACTTTACCGAAAGAACCAAGAAGACATTGTAGAACCCTCTTCAATGGCTCCAAACACAAACACACAAACACACCCTGTACACACACATATATACACCGTGTACACACACATATATACCCCGTGTACACACACACATATATATACCCTATACAGCGACTTCTTTACTTACAAATGAGTTATGTTCCAGAGGTAAGTTGCTTTGTTAGTAAGTCCCCACTTTACTCTTGTCAATTCCAAACGTGTTGTACGGCGTGTACACTAAACACGGGAATGGCTTTGAAAGTTGTGTACTCTCCTGTAGATGCCTGTTCTGCAGATGGAGATGTCACTGGTCCTTCATGTTCTGCAGATGTAGATGTCACTGGTCCTTCATGTTCTGCAGATGTAGATGCAACTGGTTCTTCATGTTCTGCAGACATAGTGCCAGTGGTTCTTCAAGTTCTTGAGATGTAGATGCCACTGGTTCTTTACGTTCTGTAGATGTAGATGCCACTAATTCTTCACGTTCTTCAGACGTAGATGACACTGGTTCTTTAAGTTCTGCAGATGTAGATGCTACTGTTCTTCTCGTTCTACAGATGGCATGCCACTGGTTCTTCAGGTTCTGCAGATGTAGATGCCACCACCGCCATCTATTGAGCGGGCAGTTGAACTTACGACTCTCGGTCTGAACAGGCAACTGGACGCACCGGACCGGGTTTGTTCCAATCTCTGAAAGTTCGTAAGTCGAATGTTCATAAGTAGAGCAGTATCTGTTCTGTATATATTTGAGTAACAGTTACTTAAAACGCAAACACTTGAAACTGCACCGGCTTGCGGGGTTGGGGGAGGAGGTGCCAGATTTTCAAAAACATCGGACAATCACTAAATCGTCATCATTGTCTAAAATAACTTATTTTGCACATTATTGTTCGACATGTTTGTAGGTGTTGTTTTTTTCCGTGTTTTATATTCGTTTATTATATGAAGTTGGCATAAAGAAACAATACAAATAGACAAAAAGTTATCGCATTTACTGCACCATACTTAACACTCGTCTCTCAGGCTCTGCATCATGGGGTGATGTATAGACGTGCAGTATTTTCATTTTAACACGTTGGTTTTCGCGACCAATATCCATGAGTTTTTTTTGTTAGATTGCGCAAATATAAATGTAGGTAATTTATTTGAAAGGCGCCTTCCACTGTCTCAAAGCGCCTTGTAAGATTAAGCTTAAGGAAAGGCCAAGAGAAGATGAGAGCTACGTCGAATAAACTGACTTAAGATATGGTTTCATCTACATTGTCGGTTAAACGAATTTTCCATGGTAGAGAATTCCACGACCAAGGCGCAGACACAGAAAATGCCTGCTCACCGCAGGAACACAGCCGGGAAGGAGGTACGAACAGAAGGGCAGAGGGATTTAGGAACGAAACAGGATTTCTCCACAAATATGGCTGTCGTCTGATGATGCTCGTTGTAATTACTGGCAAAACGTCGTAATCAGATTGTGAATGTGGATTTACTCTCCAACACACCCGTGTGGTGTACTAGTGTAGAGACAGTGCGTGTGTGGAGACAGTACGTCTGTGGAGACAGTGCAGGTGCAAATACAGTGCGTGGACTAGTGGTCACGACCAGAAATTACAGGGTTGATAAATAATAGGGGGCGAGTTGTCACAGGGGGAATCGCCAGGGAAGTTCGGGAACGGGGCCATGGCCAGGGGCGGAGTCAGGGCCACGCCAAGCATAAAAGGAGGCGACGAGCAAGGTTCGGGGCTGCCGTGGGATCGGGGTCATCGCTGTCTTCGCGTCGCCGCTGTCTTCACATCGTCGCTATCTTCGCGTCGTTGGTGTCTTCGCGTCGTCGCGAGTTGTGTGTCATCCCTGTCCCAAGTGATCTGCGTGCCATCCCTGGCCAAGTTATCTGCGTGAAGCGCCTGATCAAAATAAAGAAAGCCCTCTACTTATATTACTTATATGCTTATATGTCTGTCTATATGTCTCTGGTTCTGTGTTTTATCTCTCTCTCAAATTTAGCATTCTCAGGAAGAACGTAATCAACCAGGTAGGGTGTTGACTGTTATGTTATCCGACTCTCTGTTGTATTACATTACATTTCTAAGTATACTAGATTTGTGTTTCTATTTCATTTATACCTGATGATGATTGCTTGTGTTGCAATCGAAACGTCGTATGCTAGTATTTAATTTATTTTATCTTTATACGTGACTTTACCGAAAGAACCAAAGAGTAATTCCTGTAGTCACGAAAGCTCCAAATTAAGTTTAAAGCCCTTTACAGTTCGTGTCGCCCGAGAATCATACAAACTGGTGTCAGAAGTGGGGTAATTGAAATGTCGAGGCCCGTATTGATTTAAAAAATTCTGGCGGTGCCTTGCCTCTTGGGTACAGATTTTTTTAGCAGGATGCCCCTAAAGATTCTGACAGACCAAGGATGTGTCGAGATGCCGTCAGGGCAAAGATTGTTCTTTTTGGATTCCCCATGTAAAAATACTGTGGCGAACGTTACAGTTCAAGCCTTGGCAAAGGAATCAATAGATTCCGCCAGGCACGCAAATGTTGGTCCCTTTGCGCTACCGCAGCTTCAATCAGCTGACGCCGAGGCGGGAGTCCTCTTTACACCGTCCAACACAGCGACCCGAGGGCTTACGCTGGTGGGTGTGCAGACAATCCTTCGGATGAACCAAGAGCCATTTCTACAGGTCTTGAATGTAGGTGTGGGAACAGTGTTAGCTCACGCGATGCCTCCATGTTTTTAGGCTATTATCTCTGCTGCAGGGAGTGGAACAGAGAGCCGAGTCAGATGGGACATGGGCAGATAAATTGTGTGGGAAATCCTGATTTATCCCAGGCGCAACGGAACGGATTGCGATCTTTGCTAAGGTAATTTTCCGACATTTTCAGTAAGAGCAAATTTGACATTGGTCGTACTTCGTTGCTGAAACACCATATTGATACGGGCGACGCAGCTCCTATTCGACAGAACTCATATCGTTTGAGTCCTGTAGAAAAGGAACATGTACAGCAGGCGTTGGAGGAAATGTTGGCGGCTGATATAATTTCACTATCAACCAGCCCTTGGGGAGTCCCTGTGGTGTTGGTGAAAAAACCAGACGGAAGTTTAAGGTTTGCTTCGACTTTCGTAAATTGAACAAAGTCGCAGTGGCAGACGCTGATCTGCTTCCACGTATGGATGATTCCCTGGACGTGTTGTCGGGCGCTCGGATTCTTTTCAACATTGGACCTGTTGGGGTTTTGGCAACTACCCCTGGATGAGTCTTCTCGAACATAAACTGCATTTCGAACGCCTCAGGGACTCTACCAAATTTGTCTCCCAATAGGATTGCATTCAGCGCCTGCCACATTCCAGAGACTTATGGAATTGGTCCTGGCGGGACTGCAATGGGACTCCTGCCTGATTTACTTAGATGATATCACTGTGTTTGCTCGCACATTTGAGGAGCATTTGCAAAGGTTGCGTGCTCTAGGGTACGGTCGGCTAATCTCAAATTAAAGCAAGCCTCTACAGTTTGTGTCGTCTGAGAGACATTACACTAGTAACGAATTGGCATGTTCTGTTTACTTGACAAACCTTACTAATGTGCTTTCGGGTGGTGGTGGGTTTAACGACATTCATATTTAAGCGATCTAACCCATAAAAACCTCAATTCTAGATAGTATTTTACGCACTTTTATTTAACTCACTCTGTCTGTTGTCGTATCCTCAAATCTTGTAACTAAATTTTAATCCACTTCCCAATGTGGTATAGACTGCAAACTTCGTATACTTATGTCTTACTGGTGACAATACCATATTCTATCGTAAAAATATTTTTTTAAACCATCCTTTTTATGTTATGTTTCGGCTTGAGTCTAATTGTCCACGCTCAACTAATGTTGGCTGTAAATCACCACGGTCCCTTACGTTATGGCAAGCTTCGGGGCCACTTCCTGAAGTCATGGAGTTTTGCCATTACGAGTATGGTACATTTCATTAAAGCGTGTTTTTAAAAACAGTATTTTAAAATATTACTTATTTATTAATTTGTATGTATATATGTATTGCTCCTGCACTGTTTGTTTTGCACGCCACAGTGCCGCCACTGATGATAGGCCACTTCGTTGATGGCCAGGTCGCTTCTGAAAAAGAGCTACGTGGCTCAGTGGTGGGCCTTACCTGGTCAAATAAAACAAAGAGTCTACGTAGTTTTCACTTCACGTGTATCTGTTCTCAGAGCAAAAAATATTGCCTCCACGTTGTGTACCTTCACAGTCGTGCAGACACGCTCGTGCTTTCGAACGGCCAATGTGTCGCGCGGCATTTTCTCAACATTTATTTTTCTCTCTGTCAGCTTCTCGAGTGTTCAATCTCCGCTCCACGAGACCTGCCCCCTGTGTAGTACACATCCTCCACCCGTGCCACCAAATTAACAAAGGTCCCAGTCGAGGACTCACTCTCACTCGACATGCTTGCTTGGAGCCTCCTCCTTCACTCTTTCCACGTAGACCTCAACATCCGTTCCCAAAGCAGAGACTCGGTCTCCCGTGTGCCAACTTAACCCCAGCCGCGTCTGACAGCCGGGCTTTCTTCCTGTTCCTGCTTCACGATCGAGAGGGGAACTGAAGAATCCTCCCCCCTGCCATGTTCCACCTTCACCCCTGGCCACATCTCGACGCTGGCGATCTCTCCTCGCTCCCGCTTCATGATCGGTAGGGAGGCAGAAGGATCTTCACCGTTGCATTCTACCTTCACCTCTGGCCACGTCTCGGAGCTGGCGATCTCTCCGCGCTCCCGCTTCACGATCGGCAGGGAGGCAGTAGGATCTTCACCGTCGAATTCCACCTTCACCCCTGACCACGTCTCGAAGCTGGCGATCCCTCTGCGCTCCCGCTTCATGTTCGGTAGGGAGGCGGGAGGATCTTCACCGTCGCATTCTACCTTAACCCCCAGCAACGTCTCGAAGCTGAGGGTCTCTCCACGTTCTGATGTTAGCGATGCCGAGGGGGTCGCCGAGGGGGTTGCCGAGGGGGTCGCCGAGGGGGTCGCCGCGGGACCCTCACCCCCGAGGCTCGCCACGACCTCCCCAGCGGCAGTCGCGCCCTCGTGACGCCCGGCCCTCCCACGGGTGCAGCGGCGGAGGAGGGGAGGACTGGCTGGCAGCGTCGACGCGCTCGAGCCCGCGCGGACCTGCCGGCGTGACCGGAGGCTCCCCGACCCGGAGGAGGCTTTCCCGCCCGCGTGCGTCCTCCAGTGCACGCGGAGGGTGCCCAATTGCGTGAACGAGCTGCCGCACACGTCACACGCGTACGGCTTCTCGCCCGTGTGGGTGCGCTTGTGGATGCACAGGTTGCCCGACTGGGCGAAGCACTTGCCGCACGTGGAGCACTTGTAGGGCTTCTCGCCCGTGTGGGTCCTCGCGTGTATGACGAGGACTCTTGACTGTGCGAATCGCTTCCCGCATGCCGCGCATCCGTAGGGCTTCTCGCCCGCGTGGGTCTTCTCGTGGTTGAAGAGCGTCCCCGGCTGGTTGAATGCCTTGCCACACGTGGCGCACCTGTATGGCTTCTCGCTCGTGTGGATCCTCTGGTGGTTGAGGAGGTGGTGCGACTGAGTG